CTTATTGTTGTCATTGTCGCCGCGGTCATCGTTCGGCACCGTCATTTCTCTCATCACTGCTCTGTTATTAGCATCCATTGCCATTATCGTCATTATTCTAGCCTCATTTAAATTACTGCAGCCCTAGCAAGAGACAAAGCGATTTCTCTTCAAAAAAGAAAAAAAAAGTATCGAAAATCATCATCTTTATAGTTATCTTTGGCTTACTGTTAAGCTGGCGCATGCTTTGACAAATTTTGATGTATGAACAGCAGACGCCACCGCAGCATCCAGGCACACAGAGGCAGACAAGCTGCAAGTTATCATTTACTAACGACGTCACTCTCTGCAGCCGTTATAATCATCATCACTATTCATCTAGAATGCACGGATGCAAAGTTTTAGCTTCCATGCAGATAAATTCAAGTGACGATAACTCGTTATCTGCTTCTCCCCAGTTTCCCGCGTCGTTTTTGAAGTGTTATAGGAAGATTCTGGCATTTCCGATAATGTACTAGGACTTCTGAGAGAGAAATAAAAAAATGAAGATATTGGGGAGCTCCCTGCACTTTGTGCGTCACTCAGTTCTGATGATCCGGAATCATCGTCACTGCCTTCACCTTTTTACTGATCAATAAAGAAATACTGTTATGCTAAATGTGTTCTGATCTCTTTTTCTCATCAACACTGCTTCATCTGCTATTGCTACTGTTTATTACCGGAAGCTCTCAGGGCGCATTTTCCGGAAAACTCGTGTCTGCTTTTCGGCCTCTTCCAGTAACCACTCGCCTCCAGGCTTCTGCGAAATTTTCGGCACGCTTGCCACTTGATATTGTTGTCGGCTTGCCCGTTAATGAAGGACATGTGTTACGGAATCCGTACAGATTAACAATTGCCAAAAGTCAGCCTGTATTTGACGTAGCAATTGAAGATATTTATTACATGCACAAGCTTTTGCCACCAAAAAGCCTCCGGATCACCTATGTCGACACAAATTTAAGCGATGCGATCGGACCACAGCGTATAATTGAACGTTACTGTGAACGTAGCGTTGACGCGGTTATGGGTTTAAGTTACGTGTATGCCTTGGCGCCTGTGGCACGAATGTCTCAGTTCTGGGCGAGTGGTGTCCCAGTATTCAGCACTTCAGCGCTGGTCGACGAACTGGGTGATAAACAGCAATTCCCGTTACTTACCCGTTTGATGGGAACTTACAAAACAGTGGCGCACTTGTCGCGAAAGCTGGTAGACCAATTCGCCTGGCACAATGTACATTTTTTCTTCCACGATTTGGTCAGCCGGCGACACGTTGGCCGATCGGAGTGCTTCTTTTCGCTGAATGCCATTAAAAATGTGTTCAATCAGCCGCCTACGATTGTTTGGACAGTAGAAATGTTCAATGAAAATGGTATCAGCATGGCACAGCTGAGTGAAATGCTCAAAAAAGCTTCTGGTTTAACGAATGGCAAGTTTTGAATTGATAAAATTATTTGACCGACTGGAATGTTTGATATCGCCACTTTTGAAGTTGTTCCTAGTAAGAGTCGTTTTGGCAGCAAATTACTGTATTTTGTTTTTACTCAGCAGCGTTTAAAAAAATTTCTTATTTCATTTAGTGATTCATACTAAATCATTGCCCATCATCTGTTCTGGTAGGCGTGGCGCAGTGGAATACAGTGCTTCCGCCTTTCTAAACAAGATCGAATGTTCGCCTCTGTTAGTTGGACAAACAGCATCTGCTATTCGCTCATTCCTTTTGATAGTAAATTGGTGTTTGCGCATGACACGAAGTGAATCAGCTTGCTTCTGAACTCTCGAAAGAGGGAGCCACTGACAGTCTTGTTGGGGATGGTTGTTCCTAGCACTTCAGCACTCGGGCTGTGTTCAAGTGCTACCTTTTTTCACGGAGAGCGAATGTGAGGGGTTTTTTGATTTTTGAGCTTTTAAACCCTGTTAATACTTTTGTTAAATATTTAAGCATATTCTTTCTTAACACGTCTTTATTTATTGTGTACACTTTACACTGACTGTTTGAGTGGTCGCTGTGGTTCTCAGAACGAAGCGATCGGTAAGTTGACTGAATATTCGTTCGCTATTCTTTTTCAATCTTGACTATTATTATGGTTTGATTTTTTAATGAGTGGAAAATTCTGAGGTGATTCTTTGGGAGATTTTAAAGCATTAAAAGAAAATATTTTTACTGCTAATAAAGAGCGCTGCCTTTTTTCGGGGATTTATTAAGTCAGCACTGCAA